GTGTCATGGCTTCCTACTATGCTAAACTTGCACGACATGTGTAGTTGGTGCAAAGTTTTGCTGAGCTATTTCTCCCACCGATAGTCCTGGAGCAAAGTTTTGTGGATCAAACATAGAAACATTACTCCCTCCGTTCCATAATGTAGTGCATATAGATTTTCTGGAAAATTAAACTTTACAAACTTTGACTATGTTTATAGCGAAAAAAGTTTATATCTACAATACCACCAAATATATACAATATGAAAGTATATCTTGTGATGTATCAAATGATATGTATTTGATATTCTAGATGTATATGTTTTTTTCTACAAACTTAATCAAAGTTTATAAATTTGACTTCTCAAGCTATCTATACATACTATATTGTGGAACGGAGGGAGTAGTATTTTTTGATGGCAAGAGCATATAGTCCCATGTGCCAAAGTGAATTTCCCACATAGGCTATATATTTAAATTTCAACTGGGTGAACTATGAGAATTAAATCTACATCAGTACGTACTATGCACCCTACCTTAGGACATCTCCACTGTGGATCCTCAAACCGCCTTCAAACGTTCGGACCGCCCAGTCCAGACGTGTTTTGTCATCCAACGCGGTCCTGCATTAGACCGTTTGGGCCTTCGGACCGCTACCATACCCGCATCTTACTAACCTGGCCCACTAAAAAGACTTTCGCCACACTCGCTTGTGTTCCCGTCTGAAGCCAACTGCCCACATTGATGCCTGCCCAGAGTGGACGTGATCGCTCATCGGACCCTGCATTGCAGCGGCTTGTCGGCGGAGAGCCGCCACCCGCTAATCTCCCGCTAGGCACGTCTTTTCTCCATATTGAAACAAGATCCATCTGCCCGCCTACTATTAAACCGGCGCGTGTGCCGATGAACCTATTCTGGCGCCCCGAGCAGGCCTTTTCACTATTTTGACTTATTTAGGAAACTTTCGCTATCAATTCATATTTTTGCATGGCGGGCCGCTATCAATAGTTTGGTTGTCCAAGTAAATAGAGTGGCACACCACCAAACGACTTTCAGTACGTGCTCGATTTGTGGAGTGGAGGACGAGCATACGTTTCATGCGCTTGTTCCGTGCCCCAAGGCTCGTGCGTTGCTCATGGCCATGAGAGGTATTTGTGAGTTACTGGCGGAGGATACATTCAGGTATACCTGGTCGGAATGGTTTCTTGTTCTTTTAAGTCAAGTAGGACAGTCTATGCGGGACAAAATTATTTTCATTTTCTGGAGAGCCTGGCACTTAAGAAATGACTTGATTTTTGGCAAGAGTACAAAGTCAGTCACAAATTCGACCAATTTTATTGATAATTATTGGTCGTCCTTTGGCGCAAGTCATTCAAGGCCATTGGAGGATTCAAAAAATAAAGGGAAAATTCCGATGAGTGGGCTGCAAAGTGCTCTAAATACTTAGGAAGTTCAGATGGGTTGGAAGCCCCCACCTTCAGGTTATATCAAAATTAATGTCGACGCGAGCTTTGTGGAAAGTATTAGTGTGGCAAGTGTGGGTGTTGTGGCTAGGGATTTTGTTAGCAAAGTCATGATCTCTTCGTGGGACTACATTGGGAGGTGTAATAGTGTGGAGGAAGCGGAACTCCGAGCTTGCATTGCTGGTCTCTATATAGGTATAACACTTCATTCTCCTATAATTTCAGAGACTGACTGCGTTTTTGTTGCGGCGATTTTTGCAAATGAATTTGATGATAGATCAGCTCTGCAAGATCTGAAGAAGGAAGCATGAAGTATTTCTAAGCTAATGGATAGCTTCAGAGTTTCAAAGATTAGGCGTTCGGCTAATGAGGTGGCCCATCTAATAGCTAAGTTTAGTTTTGATAATAGAGTGGATGGGATTCTTGTTAATGATGTACCGTCCCGTGTAGTGAACTCTGTAATGAACGATTGTAACTCGTCATTTGGTTAATTAATATATGATGTGGTGTTAAAAAAAAACATATGTAAAACATTTTATATTTGTGAACGGAGGGAGTAGTAGGTAATATACGTTGCTTTCAAAAGAATGGCACGGTCTTGTGGTGGCGAAAGAACGCCAGCGCTGCGGCGCAAGTCAAAAGAAGATCATGCCGCGACCTCTCGCACGGTCCCTGTACGCTTCTCTGGGTAGTGTATGAAAAACATCCACGTTTGGCAACACATACGAATTCCAAACTAGTGTCGTGGTAATGCATATAGCACGCATCACCATAGAGGCACCATGCTGAGCCGTATGGTGGCGAGTGAGGAGATGTAGCTGCTGGTACGTTCTCAGCTTATCATTGTCACGTTGGCGCCCTAGGCAGAGGTGGTGGATAAGTTCCAGTTTAAATTTAGGAGTATTGTTTTGAGGCAGCCGGACGTGTTTGTAGAGAGCGTCTACGTATCGGTTGAATGAGGATTAACTAATCCTTAGATGATTTTACAAATTCATTCATAATCCAGAAAATATTTACCATGCTATAAAGATGTGTTCATCTAGTAAAGAAAAATGTTCTCCCAATGGACCGAGAATTAATTTATTCTTGGTCAAATTTATAAATATACTTACATAGATGTAAAAGAATGCATATTTGCATGGCGTCTAACTACAAACTCCCAGGCGACGATGGAAAGAAATCTGGAGGTCACTAGTATTTGTAAACTTTGTGGCATGGAATCTTGTTCTGTTTTGAAGGATGTGTTCACTGCAGTTTTTGTTGTTACAAGAAAAATCCTGCTCTGTTTTGAAGGATGATAAGATCATAAACAATTAATACAGTGTGCAATTATTAATCTTCTGTTAGTGCTATTCTTTGGATTTTTCTGAGTTATAAAAATCATTTTTAATTACGCCTCTGCTGCTATGTTGTTTAGACAGAATTATGTTTTTCTTGTTCATTAACTATATGTGTGTAATTTTTGGATTCTAACTGGATCACGAGGAACCGTTTATATGATACATATTGTATCTATTAACAAGTAAATATGTCATAGAATAATTATGCTTTGAAGTAATTACCTTATTAACTAACCAACTCACACGGATTTGATTAATTTTTGTGAGGATGATGTTTTTAAATCCGGGAATGGCATTATTATAACAGGATGCTTTAGGGTTAGAAGTGGGTGGAGAAAAAGCTCGGAGGTGGATGGAGAAAAAGCTCAAAAGGCATACCTGAAGACAAAGAATAATTCAGAGTTTGGACGTTTAGAAGATTAACATTACATACCTAGATGGAGGGGTGTTCCATAACATTTTTTCAGGAATTATGCTTTTATTTACAAAATAATACAAAGTCCTCGATCCGTACAAGCACACCCTAACACACACAAATAACCAATGTCATCATCCCTAAACCTCTCGAGAAGACCTCTGCAACACAAGCATCTACAACCAGCCCTGAGCAGGTCACCATCTTCAACCATGGTATGATCACCGCCACGCTACCCCTCCCCCACCCCCCACCCCCCGAACACACACACACACCTCTTCTTCGCTCCCGCATCGGAAAGACAAGAACACACATATGAATCCAACAAGCCTGCACCCGCCTTCACAACATGTGGCTTTGAGTACCGATGTATGTGCCCTTCCAGATGAGAGAGAACTATGATCCGGTTTCGGCGCCGTGGTCGGGCCAACTGCCTGGGCAAAGTAGGATATCCCTCCAGCAGCAACACAAAGGAGGAACAAACGTATCAGGGAATCATACCAATGATGAGGAAGAAGAATCTTTGTCTCCACACAACCACCACCCCTGAGGACCAACCCGGCCAGTGTGGGTCGACCTCCAGACACCATAGCCCCCGCGACCTCGACGAGATCCGGGAATCCTCAACCCCAGTGGTGTAGCCAGGTTTGGGCCACACCTTGGGCCAGATTTCGTAGCTACAGTAATTATGATTGCTACGGTAGAAAATTTATCTATAGTACACAAAGGAATTTGTAGCCATGCCCCATGCCATGGCTACGCCCCTGCCCACCCCGCTGGCTCCTGGACGAAGGCAAGTGCCCCGCTTGAACGCAAATGAAGCCCGAGGAAACTTATTAAAACGTGGCGCCGCTGCAACGGTCTCAGCAATGACTCCCTCAAGCCCTAACCCTACTGAGAAACCATCCGACACACACATCCGAGGTCGCCACCCCTTCCCCGGCCGCTGGAGCGGACGGCTAAGGGAGAGGGAACCAGCTGCGGCGCCGACGACTCGCAAAGGGAATCCATGGTCGCCTCCTTTCCGCCTCGCTACGATCTAGTATTCCGGAGGCAAGTTAAGAAGAGTACCTCCCCTTGCTCCATAACATATTTTCGGAGTCTGCAAAATTATGCATATTTTGGAGAGGATTAATTATGAGATCTTGCCAAATAAGAAAACATCGGCGCCATTATTGTTGATTAACCTAAAAACAGAGTAATAGTCACAAAAAGGGAATTACTTGACAATATATGTTCTTTGGAAAGGAAATGCATCCAATTATCCAATTGTAAAATAAATCCCGTACATGCAGGATTGTATTTCAGTCTTTCTAAAATTGAGGCCTCTCCGCTTGTATATATAAATCCCCAGGACACGCGGTTAGGAACGATGCAGCCGTCGAATTGAACCTCGCACATAAATCACCATGAGTTCCTCCTTGGCCCTGCTCCTCTTCCTCGCAGCAGCCACCGTCCCTATCCTCGCCGTCAACGCAAGCGTGCTCCCGGCGGCCGCCTCCGCGAACGACACGCTGCAGCGCGGCATCGTCGCCACCAACCAGATCGCGCACAACGTGACGTCCACGCTGCACATCATCTCGGACCTGGTGCGTGACCTCAACACCTGCACCGGGTACTACACGACCATGGCCAGGACGGTGGCCGCCGCGCTCGGCGACCTTCACGCCGGACGCGTCGTCAACGCGACGGACAAGCTGAGCGACGCCCTTGGTCCGCCTAGTGACTGCGACATTGTGCTGAGCGGCGTGGGCGTGATCGGGAAGGTCGCTCGCGATCCCATTCGGCAGGAGAACGACGAGAACGAACGGCTTGTCCAGTTAGCCATCAACATCTTGAACCCGCCGAGAAGCTAGAGGACATACGGATTGTATTCATGGGCGGCCAAATAAATTAGATGTTCGGTTCTGTAACATATGTAATCGATTGAATTTTTGGTGGTTCTGATCTACATGGTAATGCAAATTAAGCATCTTTGGGGTGAATTGTGATGCTTAGAAATTCTTAGTTTGGTTGCTTGCTGCCTGGAGCATCTTATTATGTTCCAATTGAAATTTAGTCTTTTTCCAAGTTATATGGCAAAACTATAGGACATCACTTCCGCTCGATGCACAGTAGGTGACCCGGGCCACTGCCGTCTGGCCGATCGTACGGTATGGACACCGTCGAGTGCATGGGGAGCGACGTATCTATAAATCAACACAGCCAAACCGATACATTGGTGATAAGAACATCCTTTTACAAAGCAGATCAAAGGAAAAACTATGAATATAGGAGAGTCCGCTCTTGTCTGGTTTTTAGGGCATGTACAATGGTTGATAAGGTAGTCTTATCTTAAATTTTGCATGCAATTTAGAGATGACACAAAAAAGTTGTCTACAATGGCCATCTCTTAGCCTTATGTTCAATAACTATGTATTCCTAAAAACGTGGTGAGACGTATTGTGCTAAGATCATCTCTTGCTTTTTTTTTAAATAATAGAAGACAAGCCTTTTCTTATGAGTTCTCTCTCCTCCATCACATTATTTATCCTACGTGACACTCCTAAGATAGCATTGATTTTGGGAACCTTCTATAATGTTTTGGCCCATTTTCCTTTTTGAGTCTTTTTCTGTTTTGGTTTTTCTACAGTTTTTATTCTTTTTAATAAAAAGCTAGTTCTACAACTTTTTAAAAAAGTTCAACTTTCATAATGTTTCCAATTTTCAAAAACTGTTCATCTGTTTTATATTTTAAAAGTTGTTAATAACTGTTCTTAAGTTTTAGAAAGTGTTCAAAAAATTAAATAATATTGATTTTATTTACAAAAAATATTTCCAAAATGTTAGCAAATGCTCCAAATAATAGCGCTTTCCCAAAAAACATTCTCAAATTTAGAATGTTCACATTTCAAAAATAATACATATTTTTCATATTTTTAAAAGCCAAATGGAAAAGAAACTTTAAATTAATAAAATCTAAAAAAGCAAAATAAACAAAGCCTAGCTAAGCTGCATTGCACTAAAAAGGCCCGCCTAGGAGGCGCGTTTGATCGCCCTCCTATTTTCTACTATATACTACTTATAAAAACAGGAGTATGATGTATCCATCACATCATCAATAATTCAAAAATATGTCAATGACATTAATTATAATTTAGAAAGACATTAATTGCATTAAACACGAAATAATCTTAAAATCAACATTAAGTGTGAATAATCTTTAAAAGAATATTACTGTCATAATAGACATGTGTTGCACGTACACATTATTAATTTGATGCAATATTTGTCAGTTAAGAGATCACTCTGCACACGTCGTAGGTTACGTATTAAACCTTTTTTTCCTTTGCAAAATTTTTGCAATCGAACTTGACGTCGTAGTTTGCCTTGCAGTAACCCATAATTACGACCAGCTGGATCAAGATTTCCACACGCTTTTCCTGGTATCCGGATAGCCATGGCCATGCATGGAACCATGGGATGCATAAATATGCATGTGGCACCTAGCTAGGTAGATCCACGAGCGAGAGGACAAGGATGCAATCATGCAAGATAATATAAGCTGGCTGGCCACGCCACATCACACACTTGTTTCGTTCGTTTCCACGGATCGAGTCATCGAGCGAGCAAAGTGTTCTTTCACTAGTCGATCCTCGCACATGCATGCATGCGATGCATGCAACCGAACAATCGTATCACCCGGCACGTGGTTTCAGCACACGGCACACTGAACCGGTCCACTGGCCCAGCATATAGTCAACAAGTGAAGCCCACGGATATCCTCGTCATACGGATGTAGATACACTACGTGTCACGGTCTCGGAATGACGACGGGACGGCGGCACGCAGGTCAAACCGTCAAAGGAAGATCAGACTAGTCACCGTGGAGTAACTTTGATAGTAACATCGAGTCTAACTCAGCAAATTTGCTTATGTGACAATGAGTTAATAAGCCTCCGTTTCAGTTTACAAGTCCTACGCGTATATCTAGGTTGCTAATTTTATCACCATAATATAAACTATATAACACAAAAATTATACCTTTTGAAAATAGAAACTCCGAAGTTTATGTTGGTATATTTTTTATAATATATGACTTGTATTAGGTTGGTCAAATTGACGACCTAGAAATACGCGCACGCCCTGTAAACTGAGAGAGATGTAGTACTAGTAACTTAGCTAGTTACTGTAACATCACATTTCTCAATGCAATATGAGTTTATAACCCTTGTAAACTGAGAGAGAGGTACTACTAGTAACTTAGCTAGTTACTGTAACATCACATGTCTCAAAGTAATATGAGTCTATAACATAATAAATGAAGCTGTGCATGTTACTACACTTATGTTACTACCCACTATTGAGATAGTAACATAGTCTAAAGATATGTATATGTTACTAGTGTATGTTACTCTCCATTGTGGCTAGTCTCATGCATGCCGACCTCTGGCACGGTCGCGCTGGCCAGTCCCTCTCCTACGCCTCTCTCTCTCTGTGGATGGTTTATAGAAGAATTTCTGCATTTGGTGACACATGCAAAGTCCAAGCTAGTGTCGTGGTTTTCTCAATGGGGACAAATGTAGTATGTAGCACGCATCACCCTACATATAGAGGCGCCGTGCTGGACCGTGCATATGGTGGCGAGTGAGGGGATCTAGCTGCTGCCGCCGGTATGTAATCATTTTCATATCGGCGTCTGAAGGATGTGACGCTGGCTGTGGATGACATCGATTCAGACTTCGTAGAGCCTATGTTTGCTGCTGTCTGCCTAGGGTCGTCCCCCACTCCTGTCCCGGGGAGCTAAGGGCTTTTGTTTTAGCAATAGAAGGCAGTGTTTTGCTGATGACGCCGGCCGCCAAACCACCCGCAACTACATGGTTCAGACATATTGTGCCATCCAACGCGGTCTGTATCGATCCGTTTGGTGGTCCGAACGTATTTTTTCTCGTAAACCAAAGACAAACTAGGAAGGCTTTGCGAGCATCCAGACCGTTGCCTCGCCCATGCCTGACTAACCTGGCCCACCAGAAAATTCCTCCCTAACCCGCGTGCGCTTCCTGCCCGGCACCAGCTACCCACTTTCATTCAGCTAGAGAGAAGCCGCTTTGCATTGACGCTGAAGCAGAACGGGCGCGACCTCTCACTGCCGGCATTGAAGCAGCGCGCCGGCCGAGAGAGCACCACGCGTTGCACTTCCGGATGAACACGCCTCCTCGCCGCATAACGGCCACAGACTGCCCGCCTTCATCCATTAAACTCGCGTGTGCCGAGAAATCTACTCCGGCCACACGTCCGTTCGCGAGCCGCCTCATTAAACACCACGCCGGTTGGCTCCGACCGTCCACCCGCTATTTAAACTATGCCAGACACCGGGCAAAAATCGCATCACACTCCACTCCCATCTCCTCCTTGCACCATTTTCTCCACAATCTTCATGGCATCCGGCGAGCAGGAAGAGGAGTTCTTCGACATAAAAGTTGGCTGGGTGACCCGTCGAGCCGCCGGATACGAGCCAGGCAACTCACTGCTCCGCCTTTCTGTCGGTAAACGTAGCATGCAATTTCAAAAAAAATCCTACGCTCACGCAAGATCTATTTAGGAGATGCATAGCAACGAGAGGGGAGAGTGTGTCCACGTACCCTCGTGGACCGAAAGCGGAAGCGTTTACTTAGCGTTGTTGATGTAGTCAAACGTCTTCTCGTACCGAACATACGTCACCTCCGAGTTCTGCACACATTCGATGACGTCCCTCGAGCTCTTGATCCAACAGAGGGTCTAAGGAGTAGATGAGTTCCGTCAGCACGACGGCGTGGTGATGGTGATGGTGATGTGATCCACGTAGGGCTTCACCTAAGCACCGCGAGAATATGACCGGATGCGTAAACTGTCGAGGAGGGGGCGCACACGGCTTGGAGCAATTGGTGTGTTCTCTAGCCCCCCCTGCGTATATAAAGGATGCAGGGAGAGCATGCCAGCCCTAAGCGCACCAAGTGGGATGAGTCCCACTTGGACTCCTAGTTGGATTTGCCCCCCCCTATCCTTTTATCGGAGGGGGAAAGGGGGAAGGAGAGGGAGAGGGAGAAGGAAAGGGGGTGGCGCCCCCTTCCCTAGTTCAATTCGGCCTCCTCCCTTGTGGGGGGCACGCCAGCCCCTTGTGGGTTGATTAGCCTCCCTCCTATGGCCCATATGGCTCATATCTTTCCCCGGAGGGGGTTCCGGTAACACATCCGGTACTCTGGTATGTGCCCGATACATTCTGGAATCCTTCTGGTGCCCGAATACTACCTTCCAATATATCAATCTTTACCTCTCGACCATTTCAAGACTCCTCGTCATGTCTGTGATCTCATCCGGGACTCCGAACAACATTCGGTCACCAAAACACATAACTCATATAATACATATTGTCATTGAATGTTAAGCGTGCGGACCCTATGGGTTCGAGAACTATGTAGACATGACCGAGACACCTCTCCGGTCAATAACCAATAGCGGAACCTGGATGCTCATATTGGTTTCCACATATTCTACGAAGATTTTTATCAGTCGAGCCGCTATGTCAACATATGTTATTCCCTTTGTCATCGGTATGTTACTTGCCCAAGATTCGATAGTCGATATCTTCATAACCTAATTCAATCTCGTTACCGGAAAGTCTCTTTACTCGCTCCGTAATGCATCATCCCGCAACTAACTCATTAGTCATATTGCTTGCAAGGCTTCATATGATGTGCATTACCAAGAGGGCCCAGAGATACCTCTCCGATACTCGGAGTGACAAATCCTAATCTCGATCTATGCCAACCCAACAAACCCCTTTAGAGATACCTATAGAGCATCTTTATAATCTTTACTTGTGATGTTTGATAGCACA